GGCCGCCCCGAGCTGGCGCGCTGGCGGCGGGGCGAGGGCTGTGGGCTGGACGCTGGTGCCCTCTGTCTTCAGCACCGCTCCACCGCAAGGAAAAAAACAGGTCATCCCGGGCTCATCCATTATCTCATACAGAAGGATCAGTCATTTTCTCCCCCTCCTTAATTTCTTCGGCTATTGTCTTGTAAGCGAGCAAGGAAGCATCACCCGGAGCGCGCTGCGGCTGCAGGGGAGATGTTTGCTCTCACCTCCCGCCGCTCTTAATTCATTAGCCTCTTGCCAAGAGTGAGAGCAAAAGCAAGAGACTGCTGCTCGAAGGGGACCCAGACCATGCTCAGGAGACCCGAAATAGTGAAATGTGCCAGTCTGCCTCACGGGTAGGGTTTCACTATTTAAATAAATATTAAAAAAAAAAAAAAACAAGCTACTGCAACAAGATAAATCACCTGTAAGGATAAAGGCATTGAGATTACAGTTTTCAGGTCAAGATGAATCTAAATGAAGCACGTGAGAGGCATGTCAGATTAAAATAATACCAGATTGAATAATCATAATTCAGACGACCTGCTTGCATCCCTAACACAGGTCTCGGGTGTTTTACTTGACTGTATGAAAGTTAAAGTTAGATTACCTCCCCACTGGGAACTCTATAGATATTTGCCCTACTTTTGAAAGAAAGAGGCAAGGACAAACATTTAACTATTGCTCATTCGGAGAAGGGTTTGCAGTGAATGCTGCCTTGCGGGTATCTTCTCCCTGTGTCAGTATTTGCACTTTTTTAACCATCACACAGCTCGTTATTTGCCTACATTGTGTGTTTATCCATGAAGCATGTTCATTATGAAAGACCCAGCTGAGGGGTTTGCTGGTGCCCACTTTCTCTGCAAGTCATGTCTCCCAAAGAGGGAGCCAGGGGCAGAGGGGCTGCCTGTCTTCTGCCTCTGGGCATAAAGCTCCCCCAGGGCTCTGCAGACCCAGCTCGGGGCAGCTCTGCCAGGACCAGGCCTGGAGGGGCACCCAGATGTGCACATAAAGGGGGAAGAAATTCCCCTTCATCCATACTTTAATAATTAAACTTTAGTCTCTGCCCTTGACACAATGAACCTGCAACATGCCAGCAAATTATTATGATGGTTATGTGAAGGTTTGCTGTGCTGGCTTTGTCAGGGGAAGCATTTGCAAATGCTCCCATTGGTTCCTCCCAACATTTAAGACCCTGTAGCCTTCATTCCGTCCAACCTGGTACTCGCAAAGACAGCAGATCTTTCTGCTGAGGCTCATGCATGGCTGTCCCACAGAGCTGTTCTCCATCCTGTGATGGTCTGAGTTTTGCTGAGACTGGAGAGCAGGTCACCAGGTCCTGATGCCCAGCCACAGCCTCAAACTGCTGCCTCTCCAATACCTGCAGCAGCAGGTGGGAATAGGTCAGAACTGGCAAAGGTCTGGGGCTCATGAGAAGAAACCTGGGATGTCAGGAGGCTTTAGGAAAGGCTAGGGAAAGTTTTTTGGGCTTCAATCTTCCCCATTGGTCATGGGGGAAACAAAGGCTTCCCCCATGGGGAAGTAGCACCATGTGACTCTGCTGTCCATGTCCCCCCCAAAAAGGCCATAGTCATCCCACTGCCTTCTGCCCCTGTTTCCTACACATCCTGATCCTGCTCTGGCCCACAGATCTAATGCTTCTCCACTCAGAAACAGCCCATGACCCAGTCTTACCACCTTCTCAAATTTCTTAACACATGGTACTTTTATCATCTGGTAACCATCCTTGGGGCACTGCACAGGACTGCAAGTTTTGCAGAGATACGAGCTGCCATCAGACAAACAGAGGATCAGGGCATGAACAGGGCAGGACCCAGAGCTGGCTTGTAGGAAATGTTTGCTTTCCTTGGGAAATTACCTGACATTGAATATTTTTCCTTCCTGAAATGGAGAAAAAGTGAACTATTTTCAGTCTCCCATGAAACACAACTTAAAAATCACTTGGAGGCTCATTGAAATATTCTATTTTGATGGCATCAGAAGTGTTTTGTTCTGTTTTCTGTTTAAACATTTTATACAGTGTAGCACAGTGTATCATTATTTTTACTTCAGATGAAATCAATCATAAGCTTAAAATGGAAGTTATGTTCCAGTATTTCTTCAAAAGATTTTTTTTTTTTTTTGCTACAACAGGCATACTACTGTTAAATGTTTCTATATCATCAAAATGACCTCTTTCAACAGTAAATCTTCTATTGGAAAAGTTCTGGTCAGCTGTAATGAGTCAGGTCAGTGTATTGCAGAAAATGGTTTGAAAGGGGGGGTGGTTTGGAGTAGCAAAGACTGAAGTTTGGAAACCTGAGACCCGACTTCTGGTTTCCCAAACACGTCTTCTCCCTCCTGTACTTCCTACCAAGAGAGAAAAGTCAGATTGACTATCTAGTTGTACAGACTCTCCAGCTAATTTATTCGGGAGATTTAAAGCTCTTCTGTAAGGATCAATGGCGCTAAAACTATACAATTTTATTCTGCCTTGGAAACAAGTAGAAAGCTCCTGTGTTCTGAACTCAGGTAAAACATATACCAGCTATTTTATAAATTGTCAATAGTCCTTTCTGTTCTGCTCACTCAGATGCTTTCCCCTCACGATTTACAAAAGCCACCTACTATATATAAACAGCGTGCAAGCAAAACACAAAAGTAGCTCAGCTGCTTTCCTCATGATTTACAAAAGCCACCAACTATATACCTATGCAAAACATGCATAGGTAGCCCTCTGTAGTAGATACTGAAATGTTTGCTCTTGAACAAGGATTTAGAGTCATCTCATCATCCAGTAGGCTCCTTCAGTCAAAACAGGGATTTTAATCTTCCCAGTATATTCAATATATTTTGTCATTTTCTTCTATCAAAGCAAATGTTTCTCTTAGGTTTTCATTTAAAGCACCAGCTACACCGCTTTCACCCTCTTCCTTATATTTAAGCTCTTAAGTCATCCTATCTGTTAAGAAACAAAGGAACAGCATTTTTAACAGTTTTGATCACTTACACTTACTTGCTGCAGCTGCTAGGAAATGAACATTAATGGATCGATGTCAGTATATATAGCGCTTCATAAAGGTCTGATTGCTCAGCTGTTCCTTGTCCTAGTAGATCCATTAAAATTAAATAGGATTAACCCATGAAATTTAGGCCTCACTTCTGCGATACTTAGAAACTAGCGATAGCTTCTACACAAACTTGTGATTTTATGGGGCTATTCTGCTCATTTCTTGACAGGCATACACACTCCTTGATTCCATGGATCCCCAGAAATTTGAAAGCTTCCATTGCTAGTTATCACACACTCTCTCATCCCCTGTCTCAAGTCACAGTGTCCTGAGCATATTTTACAGGCTTAGGAGATTTCAC